CCACGGCGCAAGTGGGAGGTGTTCCCGGGCCGCAATCGCTTCTACTGCGGCGGCCGCCTCATGCTGGCCGGCCACGGCGGCGTCTTCGCGCTCACGCTGCTGCTCATCCTCACCACTACCGGCCTCTTCTTCGTCTTCGAGTGAGTTCCGCTGCCGCTGCGCCCCCGCCCAGCACCCTGCCGCGCACCCGACCTTCCCAATCCCTGCTGGGCACTCCGTGCCCTCCCCTGCGCGTCCCTGGCCCTCATCCTCCCCGCCCCTTTGGGATCCTCCTCGGGCCTCTTGTCTGCTCCCCTGGCCCCTGCGCACCCCCATCCCTGCCAGATGCCCCATCCTCCCTGGTCCATTTGGGTGCCCCATCCGCGCTGGTGCTCTCCACCCTCCCAGCCGCTCCATTCTCCCTGGCCCCACCCTGGCACCTGTCTGCCTGCCACTGCCAGGAGCACCACCCTCCATGCCCCTCCACGGCCCCCATCCTCGCTGCCCTCTCAGAATCTGCCCCAGGGCTCCTTGGACAGGCCCCTCCTGCTCACCCATTCCTGGACCATCTCTTGCCAACCCAAGTTCTTTCTGACCCTTGTATCCCTTCCTGACCACTTCGAGATCTTGTGTGTCCTTTGACTGTGCACACCCGCCGTAAACATCCTAGTCATCCTCGCTGCCCTCTCCGGGCCCCTCCAGGGTCCCCACCTTTTCTCTAGTCTCAGACACCAACCCCGCTTTTGCTTCCCCTCAGCCACGCACACCCCAGGCCCCAAGCCATCTTTTCTCAAAATCTTTGGGCCTGTCGGGCCCCCTTTCCTTCTCCAGAACCTTCCTTAGTTTCTCCAGAGCTTCCTGTCCTTCCCTCAGTTCCCACCTGCCTCCACCCAGCTGGCTCCCAGGCCCCTGGCCCGCCTCCTGACCACCTGGTTTTCTTTCCCTGCTCAACATTCTGGAGCGTCCCTCTGGCCTGTTCCACATCAGCAACAGCTGCAGTGCCTTGTTTTTCAGGAAAGAGTTCGGAGTGCTTTCGGGCGACAGGTCATATTTGCCCCCTTAGGTTTTTGACCTCTTCATATTCCCCAGTGACCCAGGATTGACCCACACATAATCTCCATTTTATGGATGGAGGGTCATATATTTGTATTAGAAGTTTTCCACCCACCTGTGAGCCACCTGCACCATGATTCCTTGCACACACACCCACACGCCCACCCACCCACCCTTGCTTCATGAGCCCTGCTGTCCCCTCCCGACTCCCCATCCTTTGTGGTCATCCTTCTTAATTATATAATGTAGTTAAGAACTCTAACAGACCTGGTTCAAATCCCAGCTCCACCACCCACTAATTGTGTGACCTCAGGGCAGTCACTTCACCCGCTCAGTGCCCCAGTTTCCTCATCAGTAAAATGGGATTTATAATAGTACCCACCTTGTAAGGTTGTCCTGAGGGTGGCATGAGGTCACATGCAAGCTTTTAGCCCAGTAACAAGCACACAGTGTTGGCTGCTATTAGTACTTGTGTTGTCTTTATCAAAAAAGCACTTCCCAAGGGCATGTGGCCACAGTAAGGCTATCGTAGAGACACCCTCCCCCAGGTACCCTTTCTAGCTGCCAGATCATGTATCTGCAACCTTGGGTTTCCCCTTGAAGCAAGGTGAAGACTTCCTATAAATTAGCTTCTCCTTTCACCCTTTTACCACACACTCTGCCCTTGTTTTCTGAGTAGTGTGGATAAAAAGTTTAGGGATGAATTACAAGCAGAAGCTCTGGGGGGCCCAGAGCTCAGCTCTGGACTGAGTTTCAGATCTACTTCCCTGGGGTGGCCACGTGAGTGTTCTGGAAGTGCCTTTTCCAGTATTCCCTGGGCTGCCCTCTCAGTCCCCACACCCAGGGCTGCAGCCTAGGCAGGAGGAAGCAGTACTTGCTGTGGTTGACCCACATGACCCTGCAGTGTGATATCTGGCCTAACTTCTGAACTAGAAGCAAGACCTTCTCTGGGTTAACCGGGTATCTTCACTGGTGACTGTTTTGTCTCCAGCGAGGGAGGAAGCAAGGACTTCTGGGTTTGGGGAGAGCTTGTGAACCATGTTGTGGTTTGCCCTGCTTGTCCTCATTGGGGGCCGGTAGATTGGCAGAAGAGTTTGGGTTTGGGCCGAGAACTCACCTGGGTCTGGACTGGATGCTCCCCATTTCTCTGGGAAAAGGTAAGGTGCTCTCTAAACCTTTCCTGCTATGAATGGCTTTGCTTCTTTGGCTTGGTGGATTGTTGCACGGGCCTCCAGCAGGGATCCCAACTTCTGCCTTACTTCCCACTCCCATACAACAGCCAGAGTGCCCTTTTGATTCTAAGTCAGGCCTGAATCTTCCCTGGCCGCTGCCCCCTGCTCTCTTCTGTCCTCGTCTTGGAGGCATGTCATCCTCCGTGCACACTCCTACCTTCTGGGCCAGTGCTTGGAATCCCCTTCCTGCAGGTGGCCGCATGGCTCACCCTCTCACATTAGGCCTCCCCCGTCCATCCATCCGCACAGCATAGCAAACCACTCCCCTCCGGCACCTCTCCTCTCCCCTCATTTATCGCTCTCTGAAGCACTTGCCACCACCTGACATATTATGTTATACTTGTTAGTTTCTTCCTTGTCTTTGCCCAGAGAGCAGGACATTCTCCTCTGTTGCAGCCTTGGTGCCTAGAACTTGCACCTGGTATGCAGTCGGTGCTCAATACTTATTGAATGAATGAATTGACAGTGTATTTGAATGAATTGACAGTGTATTTGCTGGGAGACTGGAAACCCTAGCTCTGTCATTGACTGGCTGGATGACCTTGAACCTAGCTGTGGGCCTGGGATAGCTGTGGGCCTCTGGAGACTCAGGAGGCTAGGACTTGGTGGTTCCTGCAGGCTCTACAAGTCTTAGATTTCAAGTCTTCTCTGTCCCCCTACACAAGTCTGGTTGCATATGAACTGGATTCATTGCCATGTGGGTGACACTGAGGGCCCAGTGGTTCTGTTTGAGGGTCAGACCCAGAAACCATTGAGATGTATGGAGCAGAGCGTGGCCCACTGGGAGCCCTTGGCCTTGGCAGTCTGCTCCTCAGGGGAAGGGCTTCTCTGAAGGCCAGAGCCTCTGATGATGGAGACTTCAGAAGCAGCATGCAGGTGCCCACAGGTGTGTGCCTACTGTGCCACTCCTGGAAGCTTGGCTGATCTCAGGCCTCCCAAGGCCCTGTCATCTCCTTACCCGATCAGGTGCTACTCTGGCTATGGGATGGTGGTTAATAGTATGAACCTCAAAGTCAGACCTGGCTTGGGTCCCACTTTAGCACTCCTGAGCCATGTGACCTTGGGCAGGTTACTTAAGCTCTCTGAGCTCTAGTTTCCTCATCTGTAAAGTGAGGAGCATAACTTCACAGGGTCCCAGTGAGGATTTGATGAGAAAGTACACAGGAACTGCTTAGCCTGGTACCTGACCCATAGTAACTATCTGTACTTCGAATGTTACTAACAGTAATTTATTAAATAGGGCAGTGTCTGGCACATAGTAAGCCTTCAAAAGATGGTAGCTATTTTTCTGTCCCCTGGCAGCAGTTATTTACCGGGTACTTCCTTGGTGCCAGGTGCTGTGCAGTGTGCTGGAAATATAAAGCTGAACAAGAGAACATAGTCTATAACCACAGAGGAGCTTATGATTTTTTGTGTTTGTTTGTTGTTGTTGTTGAGACAGAGTTTTGCTCTTGTTGCCTAGGCTGGAGTGCTATCTCGGCTCACCGCAACCTACACCTCCCGGATTCAAGTGATTCTCCTGTCTTAGCCTCCTGAGTAGCTGGGATTACAGGCACATGCTACCACACCCGGCTAGTTTTTGTATTTTTATTAGAGATGGGGTTTCATCTTATTGGTCAGGCTGGTCTCGAACTCCTGACCTCAGGTGATCTGCCCGCCTCAGCCTCCCAAAGTGCTGGGATTATAGGCGTGAGCCACTGCACCTGGCCGAGCTTATGTTTTAGTGAGAGAAAAATAGCCATCACATAGACAAGTAGCTGAAATATATACTAAATGTTATGCAGGAAAGGAGGGTTGAAGTTTGCAGTGTGCAGAGTTGTTAAGGAAGGTCCTTCTGAGGAGGGAAGAGGAATCTGAGAAAAGGAACAGCAAGTGCAAAGGCCCTGAGATAGGAGAGAGCCAGGCTTGTTCTAGGAACTGTCGTGAGGCCATTCTGATGGGAGGAGCAGGAGCAAGAGGAGAGTTTTGTAAAATGAGGCTGAAGTCCTCAGTAGGGCCCAGATCATGCCTGGCCTAGAAGGCCATGGTAGGGAGTTTGGATTTTATTCAAAGTATAATGGGAAGCAGTTGGGAGGTTTGAAGCAGGGAAATGACATTATCTGATTGACATTTCCAAAAGATGGCTCTGGCTTCTGGGTGGACAGTGAGGTGCCAACAGAGAAGATTGGCCATAGAGAGAGAGCCCTGATAGCTTCACTCTCATGAAGCCATTCTCCCACCAGTGTCCAGAACTTCTAGAATGTTCTGGCCCTAAGATGGAGGAGGGAGCTTGAGGAGGGCTATGGTAGGCAGCCTGCCTGGGGACAGAGGGACAACCATTCAGCAGGCACAGGCTATTCTCTGAGGCAGCCGGGGTCAGGGGGTATGAAAGCACTGCCTCGGGGATACCTGCCTCCCTTGCGTCACAGTGACAGAGGCTGGACCATGCAGTTCCCCCAGCCCTCTACTCATTCTTCAGGTTGGAGCTTAGGATTACCTTCTTCAGGTTGCCTTTCCTGACTGTGCTACTGTGTTCCCCTCCCCGACTAGAGCACACATCACCCTGTGTGGCAATTCCCTGTTTACATGTCTGTTTTCCCCACTTGACCATAAGCCACAAGGGGGAGGGGCTCTTGTCTTACTCATCGTCATTATTCATGCTGCTTATTGAAAGTGTTACCTGCCACAGGAAAGACCTCAGTAAATATTTGTGGACTGAGTGAGTGAGTGAATGAATGAGTGAGTGAACACTGCAGGATGGTTTGTCTCAGGTAACAGTCCACTTCACTAGTGTCTACCTGAAGCTCTGTGTATAGAGGGATTCTCTGAATGCAGAGGTTAGGAATTCTGGGATCTATTGGACACATCTGCCATGTGCTCAGGAGGAAAGTGTAACACAAGGATCAATTAGTGATGTCTATTCCCGGTACTTATTGGGAACTTGCTGCACTCACCGAGAAGCTGTGCCTCTGTCTTAGAGCAAGGCTGTATTCAAGATTTTGGTGGTGGTTGCTGGAATGACAGTGCCTGCCAGGTGCTGTAGCCCTGTGCCGCAGGGAGCCCTTGGGTTGTCTGCTGATCTCTCTTCATCTCTCGTTCTAGCTGTCCCTACCTGGCCCGCAAGCTGACCCTTGCCATCCCCATCATCGCTGCCATCCTCTTCTTCTTCGTCATGAGCTGCCTGCTGCAGACAAGCTTCACCGACCCTGGGATCCTGCCCCGGGCTACTGTCTGTGAAGCAGCCGCCCTGGAGAAACAGATCGGTGAGGTTTCTACTCCCAGCTGAAGCTGGGTCTCCATAGCTCCACATTCCCTGACTTTGGAGGAGGCCTGGTTTTCTCTTCCGAAATTTTACTAGGAACTGGGGATGCAGTCGTGAGCAAGGCAGGCTGGAGCTGACACTGGCACAGAGGGAGACAGATGATCAACAAGTGAGCAAATAAGTAAGCAAGAAATGCTGGCCAGCAAAGGCCCCGATGGCAGCCAGAGTGGAGCTGAGTAGTTCCTGGGGGCCAAGCACTGTTTTAAGCTCTTTATATGCATGATCTTATTTAATCCCCCAGTAATCCTATGAGGTAGGTACTATTGTTATTCTCCTTTTACTGATTAATTAAATCAAGGCAAAAGAGGGTCCAAGATCACAAAGTAAGTAGAAGAACTGGGATGAGACCTCAGGCCAGAGCCCCTGCTCTTAAACATTCATATACACTTATTCATGAACTCATCAAACATTTATTGACCCCCTACTATGTGCCAGCACTTTTTTAGGTGTGATATAGCGGTGAACAAAACTGACAATATTGCCTGTCCTCATGGAGATTGACAGTTGAGGAGGAAGGAGACAATAAACAAACAAATAATTAAATATCTAGGATATCAGACAGAAGAAAGGAGAGAGGGAGGATGAAGGCTGCAGGGAGGTGTGTGGTTTTACATAGGGTGGCCAGGGAACATCTTGTGAAGGAGGTGACATCTGAGCAAAGAAGCACCGGCCTGAATAGATGAGGGCTTGAGCGTGGGGTTATCTAGGGAAGAGCCCAGTAGGTGTTGGGGAGTGGGCTAGTTTGCGTTAGGTGGTCAGGGGAGACCTCCAGAAGGACGCGGCACTGGAGATGAGTGTGGTAGAAATACAGGGATCTGGGAACAGTAAGGCCAAAGCCCAGAGTGGCAAACAGCCTGGGTGTGTGTGAGGAACGGCAGTGGCCAGAAAGACCCTGTGCTCCCAGGCAGCCCACGTGGCCCTTGATTCCTTTCAGACTGCTGTGTGGCTTCCGGGGTGGTGGGCCACTAGGGATGGGTCCCTAATCTCAGCTTGCTGCACCCCAGTTCCTTCCTGCTGAGAAATGACGTGGCTACTTGCACACTTCGGGGGTTTCCGGTCCGTGGTTAGTTCCTTCCCCTTGAACAGGATGGTGTTCACACAGGCGTTTAAACACCCAGCTGGCCCTGAAGACATCTAGTGGCCTGTAAATGTCAGAGCCCTGCTGCATCCATCGCTAGAAATCATTTCACTAATACTCTGTACAGCAGGGAGGGAGGGAGGGCGAGCAGCTGGAGTGGATGTTGTCTGGGCTCTGTCTGCTCTTTGTCTCATTCCTCTGCCCGGGCCCATCCTCAGCCATGCCCACGAGCGCCACCTCATCTTGCCTACATCCAGCTTCCTTCCCCCTCAAACTCCAGGTCCCTGGCCACTCCTTCAGGATCCCACAGTCTGACCTGGGCTAACCCACCTGGCAGCTGGGGAGGCCCAGCTGTGCCCCATTCTTCCTCCCCTTCAGGTCAGGGCTAATCGTGAGGCAGGATTATTGTCCAGCTCAGCCGGACCCAGAGGTCTGGCTGCCCATCCTCGGCCTCCTGTGAGCTGCGTGGATCACAGTGATTATCCCCACAAATCTTCACAACAGCCCAGTGAGGGCAACCCTGTTAACCAGTTGTACTGATGGAGAAACTGAGGGAGGTGATGACAGGGCCAGGGATAAAGGAGCAGAGATGGAGTGTGTGCCTTTCACTCCCAAACCCCTTGCTTTCTCTTCTGAGATGGCAGCAGGGACACATCTCCTTCATCCTTTGTCTCCACTTGTTTCCTGTGCTCTGGGAAGCCTTCCTGATCCCGGTTGGGCCAGGCCTTCCATGGCACATTCCCAGAGCACCTTCTCCTTCCTTCTCTGAACCTGTGCTGCAGTGGTGGTCATTACAAAATTGTTCTTTCTTTCTTTTTTTTTTTTTTTTTTTGAGACGGAGTCTCGCTCTGTCGCCCAGGCTGGAGTGCAGTGGCCAAATCTCGGCTCACTGCAAGCTCCGCCTCCCGGGTTCCCGCCATTCTCCTGCCTCAGCCTCCCGAGTAGTGGGACTACAGGCGCCCGCCACCTCGCCCGGCTAGTTTTTTGTATTTTTTAGTAGAGACGGGGTTTCACCGTGTTCGCCAGGATGGTCTCAATCTCCTGACCTCGTGATCCGCCCATCTCGGCCTCCCAAAGTGCTGGGATTACAGGCTTGAGCCACTGCGCCCGGCCACAAAATTGTTCTTTCTGCTGGCCTGTGATGGCGTGGAATTCCAGCATCTTGTTCACCTTGTCGCCATGTAGAAGGCTCAGTGACGTTGGCTAAATGAGTAAATGAATGACTGAAGAATGGGTGAGCTTCTGTGAAGGCCCTCCTTGCTCTGTCAGGGTGACAGGTGAGGAAACGGTCAGGACATCTCCCAGTTGGGCATCATGGGTTTGTTCATGTGTGTGTTAATTCTATATGCTGACCCCTGACAGCAGAGTGAAGGCGGGTGGGGGCCAACAATGAATCTGATAGGAGCTTCTCTCATGGGTTCCAAATGAGTTGGCCCCAGATGTTAGCCCTGACCAGCCACTGCCAGTGAGATCAGGCTTCGGAAGAGGGTCAGAGGAGTCAAGAGCATCTTCTGCCTGGGGGACTGGAGAAGCTTCCCTGAGAAGTGATGCCTGAGCCACGCCTTTAAGTTTGGGTGGAATTCAAGCACAGGAGCTGTGTGGAGGCAGCCCTTCAGGCAGACAAAGCTGAGGGAAGAGAGGGTGGCAGAGGGAAGGAGGAGGGATGGGAACGGGCCACTGAGCAGTCCATGTTGGCTGGAATACGAGGAGCACTTCAGATAGTTAGGGATCCTAGGGATATTCCCATTGAAAGGATGGGGTGGAATCAATCTTGTAGGGTGCTGAATGTCAGGGCCTAAGACTTTTCTTTAGGAACAGGTGCAAAGTGTAAAAGTGGCATTTTGGGGGCCTTTGAATTCTCAAACTTGAATAGAAGCCAAATTTTCAGGTGTGACCAGGAGACTTCTAACTAACTAAAGTAAAACATATTTCCCAGGGCTAGCACAGTGGCTCACGCCTGTAATCCCAACACTTTGGGAGGCCGAGGCAGGCGGATCGCAAGGTCAGGAGATTGAGACCATCCTGGCCAACATGGTGAAACCATGTCTCTACTAAAAATACAAAAATTAGCTGGGTGTGGTGGCGCATGCCTGTAATCCCAACTACTCGGGATAGGCTGAGGCAGGAGAATAGTTTGAAATGGGAGTTGGAGGTTGCAGTGAGCCAGGATTGCGCCACTGCACTTCAGCCTGGCAACAAAGCGAGACTCTGTCTCAAAAAACAAAAAAAAAGACAAAAAACATATTTTCCTGAAAATGGTGAGGACTAAGATCATTGAACCTTTTCCAGAAGGTTGGGAGCTGTCTCTGAGGCAGGTGGTGCTGTTCATGTGAGCATGAACTGATTACCTGGTCCTAGACTCATGTAGACAGTGTGGACTTTTCCCTTTGGTCCCCCAGCCCAGCAACTCCAGCCCAACAGGTCTGGCCCAGGGCTCCTGCCCTGTAGGGACAGTCTGAGGTAGAGTGACCAGCTCCTCCCAGTTTACCCAGGACCACCTGGAAAGTCTGCTGTCTTAGGAAACCACTCAATCCCAGGAAAATCAGGGCACTCGGTCACCCTCATCTGAGATCCTGTCTTGCTGGCTGATGGGCTGTGCAGCTGGCTCACCCTGCAGGCTCTAGGCAGTTGGGAAGAAGTAGGAATATTGCTCGCAGAGGCTCCTGGTCTGATGGGAGATGATAGAGACATCCAAATCCAAGTGACAGATGCTCACTTAGACCCCGTTACAGTTCACAGGACGGACGCAGAGGCTGCGTCTCTCTCCACTGCCCTGCACCAGCTCCCAGACCCCATGTTCTCCGTCTCCAGGACGTCTCCGCCCACTTCCCCTGGCCAGTCCTGAAGCACACTTCCCCTGGACAGACCTGCCTCGTGTTCCACCTGAACTGGCTCAGGGCTCTGCAGAACAGGCCCCCACTGGGCCTTTCCCTTCAACTGTAGTTATATTTCCAAGATCCAAATTTGTCCCCCGACCCCTGCCCTGTCCCCACACAAACCCTACAGAATTTGGGTGACTCTCTGGTGCCCTCAGTACTGCTTCCTGCATATTAGTGATATTAGTCCAACCTTTGTGATTTTTCCTTCTGCATTCCACCTTGTACCTTCATTTCTTTAGTATTTTCCTCTAAATG